CCAGGATCACAGGATCATAAGTCCAGCGTGCTGTCCGCTCGGCCGACCGGCTCCACACAATAAGTAAATCATATTAACCAAACACTAGCTACCTGACTGGTGAGTGGACAGTGCTTTCGATTCATAGTCCTGAGGTTCCGGGTTCGATTCCTGGTGGAGGCGGAGACAAATGGGCAAAATGTTTCTTTCACCCTGATGCCCCTGTTACCTAGCAGTAAATAGGTACCTGAGAGTTAGACAGCTGCTACGGTACAGTGGTACCTCGGAATGCGATTGTCCCTGTATGCGAGGTTTTCGGAAGGCGAGCAGTATTTACTCCAAAAATTTGTCTCAGAAGGCGAGGGTTACTTCGGGACGCGAGTTTGTTGATACGCGTACAGGCCGACCTAGCGCGTGGTGGTTCGGCGATCGTCGCCCCTCCGCCCCGCCGCCCCTCAGTTTACCATTGTCTCGCGCTCAGTGACTACCCCCACATCAATTCTTCTCGCGGATTTTCAGTGTTTTGTTTGATTTTTGGTGATTTGTCTATACAATTTGTTATTATATATCTCACCATGGGTCCCAAGAAAGCCAGTGGTAAGGATAAAGGCCAGAAAGCTCATGTGAGGATGACAATAGAGGAGAAACAAGAGATCATTCGGAAGCATGAGAACGGTACACGTGTTGTTGAACTTTGTAGGCAGTACAACAAAGCCACATCAACAATATGCACTATACTTAAGAAGAAAAATAAGATTATGGGTGCTAAAGTGGCAAAAGGAGTAAGAACATTAACGGCACAAAGACCACAAATACTTGAAGAAGTGGAAAAGTTGTTATTAATTTGGATACACGACAAGGAGTTGAGGGGTGATAGTGTTTCGGAGGCCATTATTTGTGAGAAAGCCAGGGTGTTGCACGAAGACCTTCTAAAGAATACCCCTGCAACGAGTGATGCAGATAAGAAAGAGTTTAAGGCAAGCAGGGGCTGGTTTGAAAAATTTAGAAAGAGAAGTGGTATCCATAGTGTTACAAGGCATGGGGTTATGTGATGTGATTATGGAAGGGGACTCCCCTTCCAAACAGTAACTCCTCTCCTCCTCCCCCCTCCTCACCATCTTCCATACGCCTACAGCACTCGACAGCAAGGTAAGTAATAACTGGAACACAGTTTTGTAGGTTTATTTAGATGAATTAGGTAAATTAGGTATAAAAATTTAGTTTGATGTGGGGTTTTTGGGGTAGTCAGGAACGGATTAATTCATTTCCCTTTATTTCTTATGGGGAAATTAACTTCGGAATGCGAGTTTTCGGAAGGCGAGGCGTCTCCAGGAACGGATTAAACTCGTATTCTGAGGTATGCCTGTACTTGATTTAAAAGCTCTTTATTATCATAATTATATTGATAAACTAACAAAAACAAAAAATATACTGAACTGTAATATGATAGACATCTGCTACTTGAGAAATTATTTATGTTATAGGCTCTAGCTTTCAAAACAACTCGATCGCGGGTGATCTGGAAACACAGCACCATGTGCTTTTCGTTTGAATTTTTCGTTACTGCTCAGTGACCTATGGCCTCGAAATAATAAAATTAACAAATCATTTCAAAAATAAGAATTTCTATAGCTCTAATTATCCTAATAATGTTGCTAAACTAAATATATAACCCAAAAATATATAATGATATAAATCCAATATTTGAGAGAAATTTGTTACTGGATCTGGCTAAACTTCAACCTACTGTAGGGTTATCTTGAGATGATTTCGGGGCTTGGCGTCCCCGCGGCCCGGTCCTCAACCAAGCCTCCTTTTTGTTACACACCCCCAGGAAGCAGGCCATAGCAGCTGTCTAACTCCCAGGTTACTTTATTACTTTAGATTTACTGCTAGGTAACGGAGGCATCAGGGTGAAAGAAACTCTGCCCATTTGTTTCCGCCTCCACCGGGGATTGAACCCGGAACCTCGGGACTATGAATCCGAAGTGCTGTCCACTCAGCTGTCAGGGCCCCTTTTAAAAGCTAAGTCCTGGGTACCTGCTTACCGCTAGGTGAACAGAACCGTTAGTTGATAGGAAATACACCCAACCATTTCTTTCCCGACCAGGATTCGAACTCAAAATATTGATTGGAAATCGAGATCAAACCCGACTGTATTACTGGAACACTACTGAGTGTATAAACCTAGTTCTTTGGTGTTAGCCGCCCATCTGCCTGCCCCAAACAGCCGCCCATCCGCCTACCCAAATCCACCCACCCTGCCCGAATAGCCCACCCTCACCGCCCACCCGAACTGTTGCCCACCCACACCGCTTGCCCAAATAGCCGCCCATCCACCCGCCCAAATCCACCCACCACACCCAAATAGCCACCCACCCTCACCGCCTGCCAAAATAGCCGCCCAAATAGCCATCCATTTGCCTGCCCAAATCCACCCAGCCTGCCCGAATAGCCACCCACCCACACTGCCCGTCCAAATAGCCATCCATCCGCCTGCTCAAATCCACCCACTTGACCCAAATAGCCAACCACCTACACCACCCGCCCAAAAAGCTGCCCATCTACGTGCCTAAATCACTGCACACTAAAAAATAGCCTCCCGAATAGCTGCTCACCCACATCACCTGACAAAATAGCCACCCATCCGCCTGCCAAAATAGCTGCCCATCCGCCTTCCCAAATTCACCCACTCGACCCGAATAGCCACCCATCCACACCTCCCGCCCAAATAGCCACCCATCCACCTGCCCAAATCCACCCACCCTGCCCCAATAGCCGCTCACCCACACCGCCCGCCCAAATAGCTGCCCATCTGCCTACCCAAATCAACGCATCCCGCCCAAATAGCCACCCACCTGAATACCCACCCAAATAGCTTACTATTCGCCTGCCCAAATCCACCCACACTGCCCGCCCATCCGCCTGCCCAAAATCAACCCACCCCCCACCCAAATAGCCATCCACCCACATCGCTCGCCCAAATAGGAACCCATCTGCCAAAGTCTGCTTGCCAGTCAGCCACCAATCCATCCATGATGTGATTGGTGTTCAGAGATAAACATTCCAGATTTTTGAGCTCATGAAGAATGGTTGAAAAGATTTAGGAATAGGCATAATATTAAGAACTATTAATATTAATATTAAGATTGCCGGAGAATCATCAAGCAGTTCAAACCAACACAGCAGCAGCGGGCACCAGCAAAGCTGATGCAAACATCTAGAACATCGTGTGTGGGGTGTACAGTTAGAACAAGTGTTAAATTTAAGTACATAGTGGTAAAGTGTTAAAATTAAAGTTGCAGTAATTTTATTGTACAATAGTTTTTATAAACTGTATTGTAGTACTCAACATACAGCTGAACTACATTATCAATACAGTGCTAACTGCATAATACAGTACTGTATGTACTTACTGTATTGTATTCACAACTCTTATGAGAATTCAAGATGTACATACTCCAACAATAAGATAAATAAAACTATAACACTATTTTTTTTAGTAGAATAGTTACTTATAGGTTCAGCATATAATGATAGTGTATTTTAATTGAGTACAAAAAAAAAGACACTGACACAAATGCCTCCTGAAGGTCACCTGTTGCAACAAATACAACCCTGCAACAAACCGGGTTGGTCCCACATAGTTCACCGAATTGAGGTTGTACTGTATACAATTTGAGTAAACGTCGCTGAAAGGTGCACATCGTATATATACAATTGAGGGTGCCGCGCATGATTTAAATGACCCGCACCTACACGGGGGTCTCATCAGCTTCCTCAGGGCTCTAGTAAACAGACACCATTTAAAAAAAAATCGTGGGTAACATTCTCGGGTGTGAGAGCCTCGGTACTGAATGACTAAGACTGGCACACGCAGCATAAGCCAACAGCATTGCTGTTCTGCTTGAGATCACAGCATCGCCTAAAATTGTGAAAATATATATGTAACTGCTATTATTTAGTGATGATAGTATTACAGAAGACCCCTGACTGTGATAAAAAATGACCAGGATTCTGATAATAGCAGGATTGTGGTGATAATTAGCTACTCCACTCTAGAGAGCAAAGGTAAGGTAAAGGTAAAACGGACTAGCAGAGGCAGACCCCGAGGAGCCTGTGGAAGGTGGCCCCAAGCCCCAAGGGCAGTACTTACAGGGCACCTAGGGAAGGCAGCCCTAGGCGCATGCAGCCCGAGTACTGAAGATAACTCCTGGCTCTCGCACCCACAAAACCAACACCACACGCAAAGCACAGTGCAGTAGCGACACCGGAGCCAGAGCACACGACCATCGCCTATAGCATCAGCCTCAAGAACTGAGGTGTGGGTAGCCGGCGTGGGGGGTCTGGGGCTCCCCCTTCCCCCTCCCAGGGAGGGGGGAGCTGCGCAGACAGCAGCGCGGCGGCGTGTGACGTCACACTAGTTTGCTTGTTTTCGCTTGGGGAGTTCTATCCACTAGTTCGGTTATTGGTAGCAATTTTAACCAGAATAGGGGTTTGTTTTGAGGCGCTTACCTTTCTGGGTGCCTGTTCCGGTCGATGGCAGACATAGAATGCTTCCAACCACACGGGGGCTTCTATAGGCCACTGCTCCCCTTGCCTCTCTGAGGGGGCACGGTTCTGGCCGTGGTCCCCGGTAGGCCTAAGAACTCCATACACATGACTGATGCCAAAGTTTGACATTAGCATATCAGCCTGGGATAGCTCCGGGGAGCCAACGGGGCTCCCCCCAGAAAAAATAGCCACATATACCATAGGTTCTCCACCCTTGCTCTAGATTATCAAATGCAGATGACAGAAATATTGAGTACAGGTTAAATGTTAAGGTAATATTAACATTAATAATATGCAATAGCATATTATTATTATTTAAATTATGCAACTCACATTTAAACATGTCAGCTTTAATTTCCCATAAATTCCTGTGCATAATTTGAGCTCTACAAATAAACTTTTGTTCAACATGCCTTTGTAAATTACATACTGTGGAAAATTTTGATTACTGTATATGGTATACTTACTCTGTTAACTCCCTGGAAGACAGCCCCGGTTGCTCCTTTCCCCAGCACTGATGTTGTACACCACACATAGTTTGCTGAACCTCGCAGAAATGACATCCCGGACACGCTCACCTGACATTTCAAAATATAAAGTCAAGTCATACTAACACCCAACACATTGTAGCATGCAATGAAGTTATATTATATATGAGTAACATGTTTTTACAGCTGAAGTACAATAACAAGAGTGTTTTCCTTTATTTGTTTTCCTTTTTTTGGAAAGAACAGTAATCATACATAAAATTACAACTCACCATTCATGAATGAGCAGATATACAGTATCTTATAAAAAGTATTTTCACTCATATTGCTTCAATGCCAAAAAACAACACTAACCAATCATACTCACCCGCTTATTATTATATAATACAAGTGTCAAGAAAAACGGCATCTTCACTAATATCATTCACAAGCTCTTTTTTTTTCCTTTTTTTTTACAACAGTGAACAATGAGAGCCAAGCCTTGCACAGCTTATTCTATCTCCAATTCCTGTGTATATTATTACTTTAGAGATACAGCACAGTATTCATCATTAGCCTGCATATTTTGTCTACAAAACTTACTGCATACTAATAATACACTGTACAAAGAAAATTCACCATAAAATATATACGGTATACAATTTAAATAATGCCAGTCTCAGTGATTATTAAATTTGCTTCTTACAATTTCTAAAATTCAGAATAAAGCATTACTTAATTATTGCACATGATAAAAAAGAAATAGTTGTACACATGAAAAATATTGCACATAATCATTTGATAAGGATCACATGAATTATATTATGAATATTAACACATAATTCAGCACTTGAAATAAAATTTTAGTTGAATTTCAAAAGGTTATATATATTGCCATAAAATGTTTTTGATTGCTGCATCTTTAACACAGTGCTGTTTGGCCATTTTATCCATTAGGAATTATGAGTACTGTTCCTAAAGTCTACTAGCATTTAAATGGTGTACAAAAAATGCTTGAAACCTAAAAACTCTAGTGTTAAATGTAAAGAAATGTCTTTCACTGGTAGATGCTCAGTAGCTCCCCAAACTTAGCTCTAGAACTCTGAAGAGAGACCCACCCACACCTACTCAGAGACCCACCCACACCCCAGCATCATCCAACTCCAAGCCCAATTGCCAGGTTGGGAGAAGCCATTTTGGTGAGGGAGGTGGCGCCATCTGCATGATTTGTCACGCTGGGTAGGGGTGTGCTCTTTGGGCACTATACCAGCTTAGATGAACAGTTATGGTGAACAGAACATGTAGATACTTATATACGTCTGTATATAGTGAATAAAAGCAAAAACAGTATAGTGGGATGAGGATGTGGGCAAGTCAGGTGAGAGGTGAGGTGAGGAAGGGAGGGACAGCCAGTGGTGGGCTGCCACTCGGCATACCAACTTAGTGATTCGTTATGGTGAACACAAATGTAGACACTTATATATTACCTGTGTACATTGTGTAATAACCGACAAAGTATTTGTTTCTTGTTTTATGAACACAATAATTGAATCAATAATATGCACACCATAATTTTGAGTACAGCAAAAATTCACACATTTTATTATATAAATATATCATACTGCACCCTATTGAATATTATTACAGCATAAAAACGAGGAAAAATCAATCAGAGACATTGAAATAATTAGGTAATTATATCTTTGTTGCCACTCCTGCCTGACGGCTGGGGTTGAGCAGACCGCCTCGGAGCCATGCCGAGTCAGCGCCTTTTTGCCAGACTTCCTCGCCCGCTAGCAGCCAACACATGCCACTTACAATTTTATTATTATTTTTCTCGTGATCAGGGAACAGAAATTAACAGGTTAAGAAGAAAAAATAATTTTTTTTATTTTTTGTTATGTGCCTGTGGGTGACCAAGGCCAATTAGACCTTAGCAACACAAGGGTTAAAATTGAAAATGATTTTCTGGTCCATAGGCTGAAGTAGAGGAGTGGTGTTGGGAGGAAGGAACTTTACTGTAACATATCTAAATTCCTCAAACAATGCACCCTCCAAGCCTGGAGGCTGAGCAGGAGCATTGTCGAGAAGAAGCAGGGACTTGAGTGGCAAACTGTTCTCCTGCAGATAATTTTTAATGGAAGAGCACCTTACCTTGAGGTTACCTTGAGGTGCTTCCGGGGCTTAGTGTCCCCGCGGCCCGGTCGTCGACCAGGCCTCCTGGTTGCTGGACTGATCAACCAGGCTGTTAGACGCGGCTGCTCGCAGCCTGACGTATGAGTCACAGCCTGGTTGATCAGGTATCCTTTGGAGGTGCTTATCCAGTTCTCTCTTGAACACTGTGAGGGGTCGGCCAGTTATGCCCCTTATGTGTAGTGGAAGCGTGTTGAACAGTCTCGGACCTCTGATGTTGATAGAGTTCTCTCTCAGAGTACCTGTTGCACCTCTGCTTTTCAATGGGGGTATTCTGCACATCCTGCCATGTCTTCTGGTCTCATGTGATGTTATTTCTGTGTGCAGGTTTGGGACCAGCCCCTCAATTATTTTCCACGCGTAAATTATTATGTATCTCTCCCGCCTGCGCTCAAGGGAGTACAGATTTAGGCTCTTTAGTCGGTCCCAGTAATTTAGATGTTTTACTGAGTGGATTCTAGCAGTAAAGGATCTCTGCACGCTCTCCAGGTCAGCAATTTCTCCAGCTTTGAAAGGGGCTGTCATTGTGCAGCAGTACTCCACTCTAGAGAGCACAAGCGTTTTGAAAAGTATCATCATCGGTATAGCATCTCTAGTGTGAAAAGTTCTTGTTATCCAACCTGTCATTTTTCTTGCAGTTGTGAAGGGCAAACCACTTCATTCACCCACTCGGTACAAAATTGCCTTCTCACCCCATGCACTATTAGCCCTCCACATAACACACATTTTGCTTTTCTGCACATTATATTTTTTGAAACCCCTTGGATTTTTGGAATGATACACAAGCAAGGGTTTAATTTTAAAATTGCCACTCGCATTGTGAAGGGGGAGTGGCGATTTGTTCATGCACCTTCAGCGCAGGAGCAGGCCAAAGGTGAAACAAAGCACGAGACAGCTTGCATGAGAAACAAAGCACGAGACAGCCTTGCAGTCGGAGAAGGGCGCCAGATAATCGGGAGACTCCTCGACCACGCTAACGCAAAGAAGTCCATCTCTGGGGGATCGTACCTCTGGCAGAGCCTACTAAACGAGTCAGCATCGACCGTCCATTCCATTGACAGGGGAATGAACCGGGACAGGCCATCCGCCAGGACATTGGACACCCCCGAACATGAATGGCCAGGAGAACTCAGCAGACAAATCGCCCAAAGCGGCCAGCCCCAAAGAGACAAGGACCGCATCGAACCCCTGCAGTTCAGGCAATGAACCACAGGCGAGCAGTCCGAATGAAGTTGGATTGTCAAACCTCGAGCGACCCGAATCCTTTGAAACGACATCCACACTGCTGCAAACTCCCGCACAGTGCTGTGGACCCGTTCTTCCGCCGGGCCCAACCGCCCCTGGCCGGCCTGGTGAGCACTGGTCACAAAGTCCCAGCCAAGAAACATGTCCATGAACACATCGAGCAAGGGCTCAGGTAGGCACCAAGGCACTGAACCCAGAAAAACCCGAAGAGGAAGCTGGCGATGCACCAGCCAATGTAAGGCATCCAGAGGCCAAACCCAGCGATTGCGAGAGAGGCAGAAGGGACGTCCCAAAAGGAACAAGAACAGCCAACGAAGCCAAACCCAGCCATGCCTGGCGGGTAGACCAACACAGATAAGTTCAGACTCCTGCACAAACCCTCGACCAACCCCCTCATGACACGGTAGCCCTCCAGAAACAGTTGAAGGCGGGACCGCAGCTGCAGAAGAGCCTACGGAGGGAGATACAAGGAAGTGGTCCTTGAGTCCCACACGAGACCCAGCCAGGTCCAAACCTGAGAGGGAACCAAATGGGACTTCCTCCAGTTCACCAAGAACCTGAACCCGGCAAGCTGGGAAAGAACCAAATCCTTGGCGAGCAGCCACAGGTACTGGCTGGGAGCCCACACTAGCCAGTCGTCGAGATAGGCCAGAACCCAAACCCCTAAGAGACGCAAGTGGGCTACCACGACCCGGGTAAGGCATGTGAAAATGTGAGGTGCTAGATTCAAGCCGAATGGAGAGGCGATGAAAGTGGTAAGCCTGATGCCCTACAACAACACCAAGGAAGTCCATGAACCCCGGATGAATTGGGATGAGGCAATACGCATCCCGGAGGTCCAGGGAGATCATCCAAGCGCCCGCTCCAAAAGAAGACGGACCTAGAACAGAGTAGTCATCTGAAAGGAGGGGCAAAAGACCCAGGGGTTCAGATGGGACAATTCCAGAATGAACTGCAGGTCCGCACAGTCCCCTTTTGGAATCAGAAACAGGCGGGAAACCCACTTGGGGGACGAGGATGTTTTGACCATGCCCAAGCGAACCCACTACAGGATGCCCCGACAGCACAGGGAAAGAGGCCTGCCCCATCAACCCCGAACCCCCCGAAGAAGAAAGAGCCACCCAACACCACCACAGGCCACAAGAAACATCCCGAAACTAGACGAAACTGCCTGCAGAAAATGCACTACCGCAGACTCTGCAAACAGCAACGGACAAAAAAGGGATGAAAACCTAAGAGCCAGGGCCCAAGCAGATTCCAAAGAGTGGACGAGCACCACCTGTCGGCACGCGAAATGATAAGCAAAGAACAGAGACATTGCTTCCTTCAGAATTGGCGCAAACAACTTCAACAAGGCAACCGACGCCTGAGCCGCTGAGGCAAGCACCCCGGACACTGGCCCGGAACCCAGTTACTCCACATCCTCCGCAAGCCAGTCCGAATACAGCTCCAGCAGGGAAAAGAAGACTGAAGCCAAATGCCCACGGGTGCACAAATCCTCAGTGACCAGGGGCGCCGAAAGGTAAGGGACCTGCACGTGAAGCTGCACCTGGTCAATATCATGAGGAAGCACAGGAGCGAACAAGCATGCATTGAGGCGCTCAAACTCGCCCCCCAGGTAAACCCGAATGACCGTAGTCAACTCCTAATACTGAAGCATGCGAGTCCAACAGAATGCATGCCACACCCCTAATGAAAAGAAAGGGCAGTCTGCAGGTCAGGAAGACTCCGGCACCTCGTAACGCACCCAGTAAGAAAAAGAAGAGCCAAGCTCAAAAGAAGGATCCATTATCGAGGAGTAATCCAGGTCTCGCAGGAGGTGAGCCGCAAGAGCCTCCCACACCTCCCTAGGTGGAATGCGGGAAGCCAAAAACCTCCAGAAGAAAGGAACCGAAAAACCCGAGAGAACCCGGAACCGAATCCAGGAAGGAGCCGACCTCGTTAGGGGCTGAACTCAGATGGAGGGAATCGAAAATCCCTCCCCTGTAATAACAAGCCCCGCTCAGAGGGTACCAACACCCAAGCGAGGTCAAATGAGGCCCAAGCCCCCAAGTCAGCCCATCCCCCACCCCGAGAACCTCCACACCAGGACCCGGGGCCAAGCCTTCCTCCAAATCCTCCGCCTCAAAAAGAAAAAGCAGAGCCCACCGGAAAAGCAGGAGAGAAGGGAGGCCCACTGGTCAGACACAGAAGCACTGGCTGGAGGAATTGCCTCCGTCGCCACACCGGATGTGGCATCCCCCGAAACTGCCCAAGTCTCACCGCCAACTAAACCCTACCCTGACTCCGAAACCCTCAGATGTTTCGGAGCCGGGAGCAGGGTGGGGGGGAGGAGGAAGCAGGATGAACTACAGTAGGGGAAGAACAAGGGGGTGCGAATGAAACCAAAAACGAGGTAACTAACACCCCCCAAGTTCAGGTCCCTATAACCCAAATGGGGCAGCCGTGGAGCATCCGGAAAAGCAACCAACTGAGTGCATTGCAGTAACCTAAACCTTGCATGCAACGTGGAAGCTGTGTGCACGCGAATATCAAGATCAGAGGACTGGGTGAATTCGAGTACAAGCAAGGAACACCACTTGCAGGACTCCGGGTCGAAGATATAACTGACCCAACAGGCAGCATAGTGGAGGCAGAACTGGTGAATGTCACCCTGAGACGGGGACAGCGCAACCATCAAATTCGCACGAAGCGAGGTGGGACTTGAAGGACTCCTCCATCGAACCAATGAGCCCCAATGGAGGTTTTCAGGGCCCTTAGGCTGACTGCTAAAGGAAGCCCAGGCAAGGTACTGCTAACCAGTATCCCAGCGATACCAAGCAATCAAACTAAAAGCTGAACCTCTGCGACGTGTACAATCACGGGGACCTAGAAGAGGACCACCAAAAATACAAGTGGACCTATAGCCACACAAGGCTATAGCCCCATCAGGCTATTGCCCCACCAAGGATATTGCCCCACCAGGCAAGCAAAACAAAAAGAAAAAAAAGACGCAAAAGCACAACGTCACCAGAGGAACATAACAAGCCGCTATGTGTTTATCAGACAGCTGCATAGTACCTTGTGCCCCAACCAGCGATGACTACCTCTTACCCAAGATCAAACACTAGCAGTAACAAAACCAACTGACCCCAAGGTTTTTTTTTTATTGCTCGGGCAATTGCCGAGCAGTAAAAGAACCCTGCGGAGGTAGTTTCCGAATGGCTTATGGACGATAACCCTAAACCGCAAGGGCAGTACTTACAGGGCACCTAGGGAAGGTGACCCTAGGCGCATGCAGCCCCAGTACTTCTGGAATTACTCCTGGCTCGCACACCACCACACCACAGCACAACACCACAAGGCATAGCACTGCTCAAGGATTAGAGCCAGAGTCGACCAACCGCCACTCAACACAACAACCTCTGAACTGGGGTTGGGTAGCCAATGTGGGAGGTCTGGGACCCCCCATTCCCCTTCCCAGGGAGAAGGGAAGCGCGCAGACAGCAGCGCGGTGGCTGTGGTGACGTTATGCTTGTTTGCTTGTTTTCTGGTTGGGGAGTTCTGCTTGCTCGTTCGGCTTTCGGTTTGCAATGTTTAATCAGCTGTAGTTTGTTTTGGGATTCATACCTTTCCGGGTGCCTGACCTGGTAGATGGCAGATATAGACTGCTTCCAACTACATGGGGGTGTCTTTAGGCCATTGCTCCTCGTGCCTCGCTGAGGGGGGGGGGGGGGGGGCAGGGTCTGGCTTGTGGTCCCCGGTAGACAGAACGCCATTGCTTGACTGTTGGCATGGTCTAATATATACACATCAGCCCGGTATTATTGTAACCATGATATTGAAACCATGTAGTCTAAAGTCCTCAAAGATCAGGAAATCATTGGCAAAGCCTAACATTTAAATACTGTAGGCAGGAGCCCTGGTCGAGAACCGGGTCATGGAAATGCTAAGTCCCGGAATCATCGCAAGATAACCGTAAAGTAACGTAAGCTTAGAGAGCAGAACAATTAAAAACTAGCTACACGTTAACTGATAGCATGTCCCCCAAATCTGCACACACACACATTGCCTCATAAATGTGGTTTGCAATGATTGCAAGAATTTGCAAAAGTTATCTGCTAGAGGCAAGAGTGATGGGGTTAGGAACCATCATCATGGAATGAAAAAGTTGAGGAATACACACACAGGAAAAGTCCCATGAGGGCATAAAAAATAGAACAGACTAAAATAGTAGGTTCAGATAGGGCTGAGATTTTTTGTTTGTAGCTCCTCTCACAAGGAAAGTTCTTTTGAAAACAAGGTCCCAAAGAACACACGGACTGGTTTACAAATTACCACATTTCTTTCTCTAATGAAGAGGCATTAGTCTACCCTATCAGTAACGAAACATTATGTGAGCAATAAAGACAAATATTTTCATGCATGTATTACTATGTCTACTGAAGGTTTATACAATGTGAAGACAAACTGAAAATTTTAGAAGAGTACTATTAATTACTGCGTACTCTGCTCTGGGGTATCAGGTATAAAATATATACTAGTTTCTGCTTTTCTAAGAAGCCTACATGGTTAACCTCATAGCATGAATAAGAGAAAGTAATGAACAAGCAAAGTATTTATAAACTTAAGTAGCTCCAAACTCGAAAACTATTCAATACAACAATAACATGGCAGAAATTAAATAACTAACACACTCACTAGCATGGCTTAGAACTGCACTATAAAATATTATAGAAACTAACTGAAGAAAATTCAAAAGATATCCAGATGTCTAAAGCAGCTTGATATTGTATAACAGCAATAAGGTTAAAAGTACAATATTTATTAATATTGTATCTATAAATACTGAAAGCCCTAATCACCACCACCAGTTATTGCAAGCGCATGCACTACAACTTTTTGTTAGTACCTCTCGTTTACTTGCATCCGAGGATTTCTTAGAGGTCATTTTTGCACGATTCTGAAAAGGGGACATCTTTATGAACATGCAGTTAATGAAATTATAACTAGTACAGTAACAGATGTTATGTGTGTTAGTATTGCCTTAAAAGTAACTACGGACAATTTTAATTTACTCTTACAATCTAACAAAAACATAAAACAGAAATTTAACCATGCGTCACACAAAAATAAAACACATAATTATTTAACAAGTGTGCATATTCTATATAAGAGACACCATGACCTCAACTTCATTACAGGTCTACCTACTGTACCCATGTAAAGAATGTGCTATACAGTGAACCCTCAGTTGGAGGAAGATTGCAAAATATTAATTAGCACAACAATACTGTACTGTACATGGTTTATTTTATAACACACAATTATAAAAGACATGAGGTGGCAACTCAGGTAACATGGGATTTTGATCATGCTGCCACTCACATGAGATGCCCAAACCGAAGACCCCTCCCAAATGTGGAAAAAGGAAATCACGTCTTTCAGCGTGATTACTGTCTCCTCGTGTTGTTAGGGCTTGGCAGTGCCTCTGTTGTTGGCAACAGCATTTAGTATCAATAGTTCATTGCATCCATTTCGCTCATTGTCTTGGGCATTTTTCACACCCAGGCTCCTTCATCTTGATCTGTATTTAAGACTGAGTTTTCTCTCCTCTCCTTGTCTTTCTGTAGCTCTTTTAGTGTGGCTTTGCCTTTTCTATGTTCTTTTGTTCCTAGGGGTTATTTTCTTTGTTTCCAGCCTTGTCCTTTTCTGGTTGAATGAAACCTGAGTTCAAATCATTTATATATATAAAACAACAGAGGTCCCAGGACAAAGCCTTGAGGCACTCCACTAACAACATTATCCCACTCTGACTTAACCCCATTTATACTAACTCTGTTCCCTTTGGAACAGCCATGCCCTAATCAAACTTAATAGCACCCCCCAATACCATGAGCCTTTAATTTTAATCAGTCTTGCACGTGGCACTGTATCAAAAGCTTTGCTAAAGTCAAGGTATACAACATCATAATCCTTACCACTATCAACTGCCTCAACTACGCTGGAATAAAAAGATAGAAAATTTGTTAATTTAATCTCCTCTCTGAGGGACTTCCTTCCAGACATGGGTATTCACAACATCCCTGCCCTTCTGTCTCTCCCCCGCGAATACTTTAATGTATTCATGGGACTCTAATGCTTTCATTTCAGCTACTGAATTTTAATGATGCCTTTTACTTCATTACCTTAATGACGTGTTACAGGACGGGCCTGGAGCTGCCTTGTCCCCCTTTTTTCCTTAGACTACATGCTGTTGAACATGGCCGTTCCATTTTCCTTCCACGGGCATGCTACATGCGGGGCGCCATGCCACCCCCACTACCGGCAGGGAGTTTATTCCTGTTTATAACGCTTTATATGATTTACAGTGCAAGTACGTTGTCGATTCAAGATTTTTCCTTGCACCACCATACCTGGTTTTCACTTACGCTACCGCCCCCCCCCCCTTCTCCACAGAAACGACGCGGAGGGGAACACCCACACCCTCTGGGACGAGGAGGAGGGCGTGGCCCGGCCTGCTCCCACCTGACTCCAACCGTTTCAGCCGACCGCTTCCCATTCATCCCACGTTTTTGCCCCCTTTCCTTAGGATCCTGCTTATGTACCCTGTCTAGCCTCGGGCTTACCAATAATAGGCAATAAAGAGGTACCTCGGTTTAAGAGTTTAATCCGTTCCTGGAGACAGCTCGTATTCCGAAAACTCGTATTCCGAAGCTAATTTCCCCATAAGAAATAATGGGAAATGAATTAATCTGTTCCTGACTACCCCAAAAAAACCAGCGTTGAATGTAATGAAATGTCATTTTCTGGGTGAGTCCCGGAGGCTCCCCGGAGCTATCCCAGGCTGATATGCTAATGTCAGACTTTGGCATCAGTCATGTGTATGGAGTTCTTGAGCCTACCGGGGACCACGGCCAGAACCTGGCCCCCTCAGAGAGGCAAGGGGAGCAATGGCCTATAGAAGCCCCATGTGGTTGGAAGCTATGTCTGCCATCGACCGGAACAGGCACCCAGAAAGGTAAGCGCCTCAAAAACCCCTATTCTGGTTAAAATTGCTACCAAAAGCCGAACTAGTGGATAGAACTCCCCAACAGAAAAACAAGCTAACTAGTGTGATATCACATGCCGCCGCGCCACTGTCTGCGCAGCTCCCCCCTCCCCGGGAGGGGGTAGGGGGAGGCCCCAGACTCTCCACACCAGCTACCCACACTTCAGTTCTTGATGGATGTCAAAAACGCGAAAAAAACGCAGACCGAAGGGAGGGAGGGATGCCGGGGAGCCTCCGGGACTCACCCAGAAAATGGCATTTCATTACATTCAACGCTGGTTTTCTGGGAGGGAGCCCGTCGGCTCCCCGGAGCCAACTACCCACAGACAGAAAAAGAGGGACTTACCCGGGAGGCGGTCGTCGCTCACTCCTCAACTCGAAGCCGAGACAACTGGCTGCAACCGCTGATCCAAAGCAACACAGGCCCGACGGGGCCCAGGGACATTCACAAGGTAACAAGCAGCCAGGACCCTGTTCGACGGCCAAAATCCCCACGCCCGAATATCAGACCAAGACATATTCCCAAAGACGGCAGCAAGAGCCGCGAACTTACGAACGTCATGCGCACGGGGATAGATCGCAGGCTGGCAGGACATAACCCTACGGACAACCTGGGAGACCCAAACCCGCGAACAGGGAAGAAGGGAAACCGGATCAACCCACAGCGCATCCCCGGACACAAAAGCCGTGGCGCGCAAATAACGGCGAAGCGCCACAACCGGACACAAAACATGATGCACCCCCGGCCTGACCAACCAAGCATCAACCACCCACGGACCCCTCCGGAACGCAGCAGTCTCATTCTTTGCCAGAAAAGAAGGAGATGGCTGCAAGCGAACAAAACAATCACCACGACCAAAAGAGCAGAAACCCCTGCGCCGGAGGAGTGCATGAAGCTCCCCGACCCGACCCCCAGACGCCAAAGCCAACAAGAAAAGAGCCTTAGAAAAACAATCCTGGACCGAAGGGGCCACAATGAAACGAGGAGACGAAGGTAAGCAAGCACTCGGTCCAAAGACCAGGACGGCTCAGGCGGCGCATGAGCAGGCCGGAGGTGAAACAATGCACGAGACAGCTTGCGAAACGACGCAGACGTAACATCGATACCGAAGGCAAGCTGAAGCGGCTCCGCCAGCGCCGCACGATACATGGCGACAGTGTTAGGCATAAGATGACGGTCCTGAAACAACCATGAGAAGAAGGACAAGACCACCCGAACAGACAAGGAACTAACACGACGAAGACGCAAAAAGAAACAGAAGGACCGCCAGGAAACTTCATACTGCCGCCGAGAAGAAGCCCGCAGGTGGGACACCAACAAGGAGGCCACCTGATCACCATACAGATGATGATAAACTCGAGTCAAAAAACCCATACGCCAAGACTCGAGAAGATTGAACCAGCCACGTGACGTACCGGCCCAATCTGCTGAAAGAGGCGGAGCCGCGGGAAAACCCTCGGGTTCGGACACTGAGCAACCAGCGCCTGAAACCAAGGCTGGGCCGGCCACCAAAGGGCCAGAAGGACAACTCTCCCCTGGTAAGTCTCTAAGCGAGTCAGGACCTGGAGCAACAGCCGAACTGGGGGAAAGAGGTACAGGAACCCCACCTCGACCAGTCTAGCCGAAAGGCGTCGACCCCGACAGCCTCGCGATCGGCGAAGGGCGATGCATACACGGGAAGACGCCACGACCACGCCGACGCAAAGAGGTCCACCTCGGGGCGCCTGAACGTATGGCAAAGCCAATGGAAGGACTCGTCGTCGACCATCCACTCCATGGAGAGGGGAACAAAGCGAGACAGGGCGTCAGCCAAGACGTTGGACACGGCCTGTACGTGAACCGCCAGGAGAGCCAAACCCCGAGAACTCAGCAGACGAGTCACCCGAAGTGACCAACCCCAAAGAGATAAGGACCGCATCGAACCCCCGCGGTTCAGGCAATGAACCACCGGAGAGCAGTCCGAATGGAGCCGAATCGTCTATCCGCGGGCCACCCGAACCCTCCCAAGAGCAAACCACACTGCCGCGAACTCCCGCACCATGCTGTGAGCTCGACGGACGGACGGATCCCAACACCCCTGGCCGGCCTGGTGAGCACTGGTCACAAAACCCCAGCCGAGAGACGACGCATCCGAGTACACATCGAGCGAGGGCTCGGGTAGGCGCCAAGGCACTGAACCCCGAAAAACCCAAAGAGGAAGCCGGTGATGCAGCAACCGACGCAAGGCCCCCGGGGGTCGAACTCTGCGATCGCGAGAGAGGCGGAAGGGGGAACCCCGAAGGAACCAGAACAGCCGACGCAGCCAAACCTGACCTGGTGGATAGACCACCATCGCGAAGTTCAGGCTCCCGCACAGCCCCTCGAGCAACCGCCAGGTGATCCGAGGGCCCACCAGAAACAGACGAAGGCGGGACTGCAGCCGCAGGAGAGACTCCGGAGGTAGAGACAAGGAGGCGGTTCGAGAGTCCCAAACGAGACCCAGCCAAGTCCGAACCTGAGAGGGAACCAGATGGGACTTCCTCCAGTTCACCAAGAACCCGAACCCGGCGAGCTGGGAAAGAACCAAATCCCTGGCTAGCAAGCAAGCTAACCGGCTTGGAGCCCAAACCAGCCAGTCGTCAAGGTAGGCCAACACCCGAACACCTAGGAGACGCAAACGAGCCACCTCAACCCGTGTAAGGCGCGTGAACACGTGAGGTGCCAGGTTCAACCCGAACGGGAGACAACGAAAGCGGTAACTCAGATGCCCCACAACAAAACCGAGCCAGTCCCTGAACCATGGATGAATCGGGACATGCCAATAAGCGTCCCGGGGGTCCAGGGACACCATCCAAGCGCCGAGCTCCAAGAGGAGCCGAACCTGAGACAGCGTAGTCATCCGAAAGGAGGGGCAATGAACCCAGGGGTTCAG